GCCTCACTACTCTGCGCGCCCGGAGCCCGTCGGGGACCACCGTCCGCCAGGGGGCGCAGCGAAAATATGCTGCGGGGACAAACTTGCCAGGAGCCCAGCCGCTTTGCTGCCCGCCGCCGTGGGGCTGTACCCTCGACGTCACCCCGGGCCCCGCCGGCGTCCCCTCTCTCCCCCATCCTGAGTGGAAGAAGGAAAACTGTGGTTCTGGGCAGCGACTCCAGGGAGACGTCTCCCCGCCCAGGAATCCCCGACGGCTGGACAGGAAAGGAAAAAGGGGAGACTGGGGGGTGGGGGTGGGGCTGTGGTCAGGAAAATCCCAGGAGTGGGTTGCGGGGTGAGCTGACCAAACAAAGCTCTCAAACCTTAGGCAGCGGCGGTTTGTGCTTGTGGGCTGAGAGTGCACAAGTGGCTGTGCTTGTGTGAACGTGTAAATGGGACAGTGCACGTGTGAATGTGTGTGAGAATGTGTATGAGTATGTTCTGAGGGGATGCACATTCATGTGTGTCCTCATGGGCAGAAACTCCATGTTCTGAGAAGGGATGTTGGGAGACTTTCCCAAGAATTTTGGAACTTAGCTCAGGTCAAAAGGGATCTTCCAGTCATCTTTTCACAGCCACCACCTGGGGCAGTGCATCATCTCCTATGTGTCAGGAAGGAGGTGGCAGCTACATCAGGAGAGACCCAGAAGGTTGACTGAGGAAGAGTGTCTGGAACTGTGTGTGGAGGTGGGTGGATGGATGGATGCGTAGGAGTTCAATATGCATACATGTGTCACTTTCACCCTGTGTACCTTGTGTCATCCTATGGTGTGTCACCCTATGGCATAGGTCAACTTGTGCATGTCACTGGGGGAGGAAGACTAGGCCTGTAACCAAGGTGGTATCAAGATGGGTGAGGCCTGGGGTGGCTGAGTCTCAGAGGAAAGGAAGGGCAATGGAGTAGATGTCAGGTGTGCATATGGAGGTGCTGGGAGAGAAGGGCTGCTGGCTAAACCGAAGGCAGAATAGGGAACTTGTGCCTCCATGTGTCTGCTTTTTTTTTTTAATTTATTTTTCTGCCAAGTTTCTGTCTCCACTCCCCCTAACAAAAACTCTGGCTCTTCTCACTCTCACCATGCCAGGATACCTAGGGTGCCTGCGACCATCTCATCCTTTATACACTTTTCTCTCTCATGTTCCCACTTAATCTCAGCCTTCAAGGCCACCTCTGCCTCCTATTGAAGAAGTAGCTGCTGTTCCCTATGTGGGGCATAGGGGGCACTGCCAGCCTGATTATTATGCCCTACCACCACACACAGATGGCCTCTGGAAGGGGGGAGGATTTCATTTACATCTCTCTTCTCTCCTCATTTTACAGAGGAAAAACTAGATTAGGCAGTTGTCCAAGGGCCACACAGCTAATAAATGAATAAATGATAAAGCCAGGTTAAAACCCAGACCATTTTGGCTCAAAGCCCATGCTCCTTCCACCTTACCGGCAGCTTGTGAATGTGCAGAAGTAGCAGGCTGGGGACCCTTCTCAAAACTGACAGATAAATGCAAATGATCTTTAGGGTCTTCCTGCCTCCCTTTTGGATCCTCTGTTTTTCATTTTCCCTGCCTTTAGGATGCTTTTTGACTGAATAATGTACCCAGGCCTGATCCTACAGAGTTCCAAGTCCCAGAAATGACCAGGCCTCCCCTCTAATGCAGAGAAGTCACTCTAAGGAATAATGCCTGATAAGTTTAGTTAATCTTCCTGGGGCACGTGCATTTTAAATGAGATGCATATTTAACCCAAATGAAGCCTGATGGAGGTTATTTTTGAGGGGAATACTTTTCCAGGCCCTTTGCCCAGTCCAGTATACCTGGCCCCTCCAAGGATGTGACCCTGAAGGCCAAGGGATACTGGCCATGCATCCTCCACAGGCCCCAATGCCAGGAGTCTCTGCAGAGGCCACCCAGCATGGATGGCTTGCATAAATAGACAGTGTACCATGGGCAGCTGGTCCTTTGTCCCTTAGGAGTTTCTTCCCACTGGAGCCTGGGTCACATCTTTTGGCTTGGTGGGAGGAGGAGGGAGCTGGGTTGTAAGAAGGGCAGCCCGGTCTGTGGCCACTGGTGACAAGCAGAGGTGGGAAGAGGATAAAGAAGGATCCAGTGCCCTTCATTCCACCATTCTGCCCACCAGGAATAGTGGGAAAGAGTGGGATGGCTCTAGGTCTTGGTCACATTGTGTTTGTCCTGGTCCAAATTTTCTATTTAGATCAAATCATAACTCTGTCAATTGTCCTCTCTTTCTTTCCTGCATCATCAATTTACCTCCCTACTGGGTCATACCCATAAGCATACAAATATTCTGTGATGTCTCCCATCTGAAAAATCCAAAAGCTTCCTTTAACTTCACATTACCACCCAAGATTGCCCCATTTCTCTGCTCTCTGTCATTGCAGAACTCAAAAGTGTTCCTTTAATCACCAGTACCAGTTTTTTCTTTATTCTCCCTTTTTACCACCCTAATCACACCTTTGAACCCCCGGTATTTCCTTATCAAAATCATCCATGACCTCCATTTTGCTCTACAGTAAAATCTCAGTTCTTTCCCTAATCAACTTTTTAGGAACAGCAGGCAGATTTGAACACTTCCTTCTTGAAATATTGTCACTTGATTTCTGTAACACCATTCCTACCTTCCTGGCTGCTCACCTTCTCAGTCTGTTTATCTGGTTCCTCCTTTGTACCCAGTTTCTACATGACTCGTTGGAGTGCACCCCAATTCAATCTGGAGCTTCTTCTTGGTCTATGTGCATGCCCTTGGTGAACTATCTAATCTCACACTCCCTAATTTTACCTCTGGCCCTGAACTCTGGACTTGCATATCTAATACTTGAATGAACATCTCAAAATGTACAAGGTCCAAAACTAAGCTCCTGATTCTTCCCTTGCACCTGCTCTTTTTGTCATGTCCATCTCAGTAAATGGCAGCTCCATCCTTTCAATTGCTCTGGGCAAGAATCTTAGAGCCATCCTCCACCCATCTGTTTCTCATACTCCATGTCAAATCATTTTTTAAAAAATCCCACCCTTCTAAAATATATGTAGAATCTGATCCATTCTCTTTTTCCTTTGTAAAATTGAAGTATTGTTGATTTACAATGTTGTGTTAGCATCTGGTGTACAGCACAGTGATTCAATTGTACATTTGAATCCGATGCATTCTTACCACTCACTCCTGCAGCACAGGTCAGAGCCACCATCATCTCTTTCCTGTATTATGGCAATAGCCTCCTAACAGCTCTCCCTGCCTCTGCCCTTGCGCCTCCAAAATCTATTTTCCACACAGCAGCCAGAGACATTCTTTCTAAAACAAAGTCATATCATTGCATTCTCTGTTCAGAATTTTTCATCGAGTCCCTATCTCACTCAAAGGAAAAGGCAAAATCTTTATGTTGCCTACAAGGCCCTATATCATCTGACCCTGCTCCTTCCTTGTCCTCTAACTTGACTGCCTGCCACTCTCCCCTATGGGTTCCTCCCTCAGTCACACTGGCCTCCTTGCTAATTCCTTGAACATACCCAGTAAATGCCTGTCTCAAGATCTTTGCACCTGCTTTTCTGCCTTCTAGGGTGTCCTTCCTCAGATGTCTCCATGAGTTTTTGTCTTCACATCCCTTTTCCTCCCCCTATATAAAATGGAATTCCACTATCTCCTTTATCCTGTTTTGTTTTTCTCTGTATCAGTTTTGACCATGGATAACTTTAAAGTCTGAAAGTCAAAAATCAGTTGCAAACCATTCCCATGGAATAGGAATAGGGGAAAGAGTTGTTGGAGAGGTAAGAGGCTTTACCTTGAATGGGTCTGGGGAGGCATCAGGGGACCAAAGCTAAGAGTTTGTGGGCAGAGGAGCCTGCCTTCCTTTGAAGCACCAGCAGGTGGCACTACCTCCTTAGGCTGGAAAGGCATCCACCTCCGTTAGAGAAGAGGGCAAAGTTCTGTCGTGGGTGATCCCACAGATTTGTTGGGGCCAACTGCTGAATGTGGGGGGTTTCCTGAGAGTCCAGCGCAGCGGGACCTTTGGTGCCTCCAGGTGGCGGCCTGCGGTGCTGCAGCAGAAGGCGTGAGAGGCAGAGGGTGGGCAGCACAGCTGAGCTCACCGCCGCCGCGGGCGCATCCATCCCTCCCGGGCCTATAATTTGGGTTCCCCGGGCCTGGCCGCCCCTATCAGCGGCTCAGCAATAGATGAGTCACCCGGGACCC